CAGTGCACTATGAAAATGCTAGTTGGAAATGATCACTCTGGACAATAACTGAGTGCTGAAAGGAGGTTAAAAAGATATACATGATATCCTTTCAGTAATAGTATCACAAACCATAATGCCTAAAAAGAAAGAGAGAGAGAGACAGAGAGAGAGAGTGAGAGAAAGAGAGAGAGAGAGAAAGAGAGAAGAAAAGTGTTCATTATAGAAGCAAGGCAACGGGGCAGGGAAACTGGGCACATTGGCGGTGGGAAATGTACACTGGTAAAAGGATGGAACATTGTATGACTGAAACCAAATCATGAACAATTTTGTAACTGTGTATCTGACTGTGGTTCATAAGCAAAAACAAAAACACAAAACTCCTTAGTGTTGAAAACTTTGAGAGACCTAGTAGAGTAGAAAACCCTGAAATTAGTATTTGAAAACATGATCATTTTATCAAAAATGCACAGCAGTAGGGCATTTGTCTTGCATGCAGCTGACCCAGCCAACCTGGGTTTGATTCCTCTGCCCCTCTTGGAAAGCCCGGCAAGCTAATGAAAGTATCTCACTCGCACAGCAAAGCCTGGTAAGCTAACCTTGATGTATTCGATATGCCAGACATAGTAAAAACAAGTGTCACAATGGAGATGTTACTGGGCCCACTTGAGCAAATCAATGAACAACAGGAGAACAGTGCTCCAGTGCTTTGCTATTATTATATCTAGCCCTGGATATTTCTTTGAGTCTTATCTGTTCAGACAGAATAAAAGCTTACCCCTTATTATTTGAAAACAAGTATTTTGTTTGTTTTTGCTGTTTGTTTTGGGGGGTGCTCAGGGCCTACTCCCGCTCTGTACTCAGAGATCATTCCTGGTGGGCCGGAGATGGAACCCAGATCGGCCACATGCAAGTACCTGACTCACTGTACTATTGCTCCAGTCCTTGGAGTTAGGAAAAGTTAATGAGTATTTTATAACAAAGTATGCTATCAACATTACATAATTAAATTAATAGAAGCAGAACAGATAGTGGGTTTATGACGAGCCTAAAAGGTGGACCCAAGCATACTGAGTTCAGACCCACATAATCACTACCTGAGGGTGGAGATGGGACTGTCATTGAACCAGTGCTCCTATTTCTTCAACTAAAAAATAGTTTATTTTAATAATTAAATGAAATTCTATAATAAAATGCCCCTTATCTATAAATTCTCTAAAGAGAGAAAGACGGGGATATAGTGCCGCCAGCAGGTCAATGTGTACCTGTGAGGCGAGTGCATTAGCAGCCTGATGGCGCCTTCAGACTTCCAGATACCTCAAAATTCCTGCTGTGCCTTTGGCCAGACCCCAAAAACTTGGGGCAAAGTTTACCAAGAAAGTAAACAGCCTAAAGTTAGGTATGTGGGATACAAACCCACAAACCACCTCCAGCTCAGCTATATAATTGGAGGCATGGCCTCTCTGGTTCCTCATTGAACTGCTTAACGGCCATGATCCCAGAGACTCAGAAACAAATCTCGAAACTCAACGGCTTTTGGCAGAAATGCGTCCAGTCCCTTTAATAGGTTACAGGCACTGGGCCACCCCAGGTGGGAATAGGTTTTGTGCCTTGGCCTGTTCCCCCTGGCAGCCCGGTGGCCGCCATCCTTCAGAGGCTACTGGACAGTCAGGTTTGGGCCCTCAGTGATGAGACACGTGGAGTTTCATGGGATGTCTTTCCTCCCGACCCAATGAGACACCGAGTCGCTGCCCATGAACAGCCTCTCTGGCTCCTGATCAAGCTGCTTAAAGGCCATGATTCCAGAGTCTCAGAAACAAATCTCGAAACCCAGTGGCTTTTGGCAGAAATGTGTCTGGACCTGCAGTAGGCTGCTGTCGCTGGGCCTCCCCAAGGGTGAAAGGGTTCTGCCCCTCCACCTGCTCCCCCTAGGCAGCTCGATAGCTGCCATCCTCCAGAGGCCATTGGACAGTCAGGTTTGGGCCCTCAGTGTCGAGACACATGGGTCCCCAAGTCGTCGCCCATGAACGGCCTTTCTGGCTCCTGATCAAGCTGCTTAACGGCCATGGTCCCAAAGACTCAGGAACAAATCTTGGAACTCAGCAGATTTTGGCAGAAATCCCTCCAGATTTAAGTGTTAAAATTTTAGAATTTCAAAATTGTGCGGCCACTACTGCACCCACACAACATCATATGTTATTCATAACCAGCAATAGAAAACAAATTGTCTACTGTTGCCTTTTCAGCAGATCTGAGTGTTGGGATAAAATCCCAAATAATAATGGTGGGTCTGGTGTCAAAATATTGAATATAATCAAAGTAGAGAGAGAGTAATATGGAAATCATCTGCCCCACAAGTAGGAGAAGGGTGTGAGATGGGGTATACTGGGGTTTTGGGTGGTGGAGAATGGGCACTGGTGAAGGTACGGGTGTTTCATGGTATGACCGAGACTTAAACCCGAAAGCTTTGTAACTGCTCTCATGGTGATTCAATAAATACAATTATAAACAATGAAAAGAAAAGTAAGGTGGAGTTCATGCCCAATTCAATCAGCTAATCAGTGGCTGAACAAATAGCAGTACTCCTACATTAAAAGAGAGAGAGAGAGAGAGAGAGAGAGAGAGAGAGAGAGAGAGAGAGAGAGAGAAAGAAAGATTAAGAGTCTGCCACATTATAGGGGTTTCATGAACATTTATTCATTCTGTTCTCTGGAAGTCATTAAGTGTTATATAAATAAAACTGCTATTCGTTTCACTTCTCTATACTAGTGTATCAGGATGCTTCATTTCCCCTAGTTACCATGCCAAAATATAAATCTTATTTCAAAATATGTTGGATGATAGATAGTAAGAGCAAGGAAGACTTAATGACACTACAAAAATGTTAATATAACATGTTAATATTTATCTATTTTATGCATAATGATTATGTAATTAATAGATTATTATTATACTTTGATGCTTTCTTTATTTTGTTATATTAAGTTAACCCAAACCGTGGAGAGAAAATAAATAGATGTATACAATGTAATATGTTATTCAAGTCAGATGAGAACTGACCTCTTCAACTCCAGCCCCATTATCTTCTCCAAAAAGACAAGTGTTTCTTCAATGCCAATAACGCTTAATTATTAAGTCATTATCACAAATCCTACTCAATTATCGCTCAATACAATTAACGTAAGACATGATCCCACCCTGTTTACTTCCAAGGCCTTCCCAGAGGTCCAGAGAGGCCAAGGAAGAGTCTTCAGCATTGTTCCATTAGATTTGACAAATCCACGAATCCATACTGTGGTATCTGGATGTAGTCCATTTGCAATTAATTACCTCAGCCTCTCAAGAAGTGTCTTTTGGGGATAGATGAATTCACTGATGTTTCCTTTAGACATTCAAAGTGTTGCCTTAGACATTCAAAGTGCCTTAAGACATTCATAAATGTTGCCTTAGATATTAAAATTATTTTGTGACTTGGCAATTCTACCAGACCTACACAGCAATCATAGAAATTCAACAAAACCATGAATCTTCAAAATTAAACCTTTTAGAAACCGACCTCAAGCTCTCTGCCTAAAAAGAAAAGGGAATAAGAAAGAGGAGCTGGAGCAATAGCACAGCCTATAGGGCATTTGCCTTGCACGAGGCCGACCCGGGTTCGATTCCCAGCATCCCATATGATCTCCTGAGCACCACCAGGAGTAATTCCTGAGTTCAGAGCCAGGAGTAAACCCTGAGCATCACCAGGCATGACCTAAAAAGCAAAAACATAGAAAAGAAAGAGAGTGGTGAGAACAGATAACTTTTACTCTAAGTAGGACCAGCCAGGAAAGCCAACACTGGAATAAAACTTATCTCCTCAGACAACCTTCACTTTTATCTCTTTAATTTGCTAGAGTTTACAAGTTGTTTATTTGTAATTAATAAATTCTCATGAAAACCCCTGAAATCTTGTGTTAGCAAGTTCAAATTTGATGACATCACACGTGTTTCTCCTCAAGGTGTTCATTCTCAGTCTGGCTGTAGATCTGAGTAACCTAGCAAGCTTTAAGGACTGAGGCAGTGTCCCAACCCAGCTGCACTAAACTGGAGTCAGGGGAACAAGGACAGGCACCAACATTTGATCAAAGTTTCCCTGGCCACTCTGTTGTGCAACTTGTATTTAAGAGCAACTGTGATGTCCACATTCTCCTATACTTCAAAAGTTAACTTACTCTTTCCACAGTCCCAGAGAACATGTAAGAGCCAGGAGGAATCTCCTCATGGGTTGGAGAAAATTGCGTCATCTCAATCTATTTTGCTTTTAGGTGTACTTATGAGGCAAGGAGATTATTTATAAATACCATAAGAAGTTGTCCTGGATTCTTAGTTTTGTCTTGTTGTTTGGGGTTTGAGGGCCACACCTGCCGGCGCTCAGGCCTTACTTTCATCTCTGTTCTCAGAAATCACTTTTGGTGGTGCTCAGGGGACCATACGTGGTACCACAGATGAAAGTTGGGAAATCTACATGAAAGACAAATGCCTGGCCTGTTTTACTATCATTCTAGATGCATGTTCTGGATTTTTAAAAAAATGATCCTTCTACTATGTCAATGCAGAAGGCAAGTTTGCAAATACCTTTTACTCCTTTGTCTTGTCTATATGGAAATATCGCACACAGTTCACTGAAGATTTGAACATCTCTGTTTAGGCCTACTTATTCAACCAGTGTAGCATATTTGCCAACTTGAGCTTATGCCTCTGTGGAAATCATCCATAGATCTTAGATCTCCAATTGACAAGCTTCTTCATGCTCCTCCCAGGATCTCCCAAAATGAGAGTCACTGAGACCATTGGCTTGTTGTTCTTTTTGTTTTTAATGCACCACTGCTGCTAATCTGAACCAATGAGGAATTAAAACACTTGTTAATATAGGAAAACAGTAGGGCAAGAAATTACACAACAACTCTTCTCTGATTGGACTTCCTAAGAAGCTCAAATTGACAAAAATTCAAATCAAAAGCAAACACTAATTGTTCCCCAGTCCTCTGGCCCTTAACATTTGTTTAGCCAACCCATCTGGCCATTCCACTTGGAGTTTGGGACTGACTAACTAGAGCAACATGTCTGCCAGCCAGAGTTTTGCTTTTGCCATTTTCATTTTAGAAATAAGCGTCCTGGCAGCAGGTCCTACTCCTAGGTGAGTTGCTTTTGTTTGTTTCTGAAATTTCACTCTGTGTGTGTGTCTGTCTGTCTATCTGTCTCTGTATCTGTCTGTGTGTGAACATGCACATGTGGAGGGTGAGGCTGTTGATATTTTAAGGTCTTCTTCTTAGCAGAAAAATTAGATAAACATTGTAATCGACATTGCAATGAGGTCTCAGAATTGAGACTTTGAAAAAGGGTAAGTCAAAATATGAGATGTGTCTGAAAGTTTTCTGAGAAAACCAGTTACTCTTTCTTTAAAAAAAATTTAAAAAGGGGTTAAATGCAATAAGAGAGAGAGAACAAAAGGGAATGCCCTGCCACAGAGGTAGGGTGGGGTGGGGGGATGGGGGGTGGGAGGGATACTGGGATCCGTGGTGGTGGAAAATGGGCACCAGTGGAAGAATGGGTATTTGATCATTGTATAATTGAAACCCAAGCACAAAAATGGGTAAGTCTGCAACTGTACCTCATGATGTCTCACTATTAAAAAAATTTTTAATTAAAAAAATTTCAGTAAAATAATTTGTGAAAATTGAAAGAAAAAGGGTTAAATGTAAAAGCTGAAATGTCCCTTTTCTATTTGGGGGGAGTGAGTGTGTTTTATTGAGGATCAAGGCTATATTCCTCGCACTGTGCAGTGAAGTGACCCCTACTGGTACTTGGGGACCATATGCAGTGCCAGGAATGGGGTTCCAATGCCAGAAATGCAGGGTAAGCACCTTAACCCTTGTATTATCTATCCAGCCCCTAACACTTTCTTTAAGTCATCTAGTTTATGAGATAAAGCTGGCTTTTTACCAGAGTATCTAAGATAAACCTCGGTTCTTCAGTCTCTAACATCTGCAGTTTAAAATTAAGAAAATTAACCTTCTTTGCACTCCATCTTAATGTAAACACTCTCAACTATCGGGTACATCTCCTTTTTGCCCTCACATCAGGCAAAGAGGAATCATTTTGCTTCTCCTCACTATCCTAAGATATGTCTAGTAGCCCAACTTTGTTCTGTGTTTAAGGTTCTGTTTCTTTTACTTAAGAATCGCCATGCTGAGATTAGTATCAGGAATTTTGCTCCATGGCTTGGAGGCCAGTCACACATGCTAAGGGAAAAGGCAGCTCAGATAGAGAAGGGAGAACCAAATAAAGGGTGTTGGGAGGATCCTCCCAGGATGGGAGAAGCATGCTGAAAGTAGACTATAGACCAAACATGATTGCCACTCAATGCCTCTTTTGCAAACCACAGCACCAAAAAGGAGAGATAGAATAGAGGGGAATGCCCTGCCACAGAGGCAGGGTGGGATGACGGGAATAGGGAGTAGGAGGGATACTGGGATTCGTAGTGGTGGGAAATGAGCACTGATGGAGGGATGGGTATTTGATCATTGTATAATTGAAACCCAAGCACAAAATTTGTAAGTCTACAACTGTACCTCATGGTGTCTCACTAATAAAAAAAAAAAAAAGAATCGCCATGATGTGGAAGGTAAGAAGAAGACAGAATGGGGAGTGGGGGGTGGAGGGGGGAACACTGGGACAATGGTGGAGGGAAGCTGACATGTTGTTTGGGGGCATGTGATTCTGGAATCTTTTATGTATGAACCCCTATCATTAAGTATTATAAATCATGATGCCTAAAGTAAAATAAAAATAAATAAGAAAAAATTACTCACAGTACAGAACTATTGGCCATGCTTTCAGCAAAAACTTTTTTTGTTTTGGTCCTAACTGGGAACACAAAGTCCAGGTGAGGCCCAGACTTTAGCAAAAATAAACTTGATACTCATGCTGACTTTGAATACCCACACTGTTCCCAGCGTTGCTGGGAAACACACAGACCTGAGTCATTCCATAAGATGTGGTCCTGGGAGAAATATCCACCCAAATAATTCTGCTATGTGGACAACTGTGACCTGCAATTCAATTTCCTACTAGTCATTTTCACTCTTTGTTTAGCCAATTTTCTGTTTTGGATTCTAGTATCCATCTCAAGCCCACCTTTTACTTCTTCTCCACTGCAGAAGAGATAATCATTCCACCAAGTGCCAGTCTAGGTATACAATTTGCTCATAGGCCTCATCTTATAGGAGAAGCACATGAAAGGATAAATGTCCACACTTGTATCAGCCCTGGGCCAAGTCTCTCACCAGGCTCTCCTTCCCATCACTTTCTCTTCCTGTGTTATCCATAACTACCCCTCAACTTTTTAATCTCTGCAGACCTATACCTTTCCCCTGCACTGGTCCATAGAGCAGGTAGACCAGAGGTTTCAACCTTTCTACACTGGCAGATTGCCATTACTTTGTGGTTGAAGATCTACGAAACATGACTCCATTTAGCAAATATGTCCATTTACTGGGCAACCGATACAGTGGGGACTTGGGAAGGTAGTTAATGAAAGTTGTTTTAGCCCGCTGCACTTGTCTGACCTTTTCTTAAGCTAAAAATAATAATAATTTAAACAGCCTGCATTCCTGGACTGGGACAATGCCTGCTGATCAAAAATGAGAAACTGTGGAAAAGGCTTATGCTGCTTTGATGCCTGAACCCCTGAGTCCTGGCCATGGTTAGCCTTCTCCAGGAAGATGAGAGACCCCTGAATGAGCCCCATCCTCAGTTCTGACCAGCTATAATACTAAGCTGGATCAGACTTCATGTACTTGCCAGTTTGGGGGGGCTTATCCTACTCTGAGCACTTGAGGCTCTGACACACTTGAAACAAAATTGAGGTCAAAAAGATATTCAGGTTGGTCAAGAAGTGAAACACATCATTCTGCCAAAGAACTGAGGTACACAAATGATTTTTTAAAAATATTTTTAACTATAAGCATGATATATACAAATGCTTGCAAGAATCAAATTTGCTTTTGGTTTTTTTTTAATAAAGTTTTATTGGCTTGTCATTTGCTTATAATACTTATAATCTAAGGCTGGGGGATAGTTTCACACCTAGATGTATGCTCATAACAAATCATACCCACCACCAAATTTCTAGAACCTCAGACTGCTAAACTGACCCCTAGACTTTTTTTCTTTGCCCTTTCTCTCTGTAACCACAATCTATTTCTCAGCATCTAAGAGTAATTTCTGCAGTGTTTTTGCTAGGTATTTTTGTTTTTTGATAAACAAAGTGAGGCCATCTGGCATTTGCCTTTCATTTTTTTGTCTTAGTTTGTTCAGCCTAATCACCTTGAGCTCAGACCATACTGTCACCAAAGGCAAGATTTCATTGTTTTCTAATAGCTGAGAAACTTTGATCGTAACAGAGTGTGCTGTCTTCTGGAACCAGGCTCCCTGAGCTCAGGTCAGGGCGCCATTCCTTCCTAACCAACCATGGAATCTGAGCAAATTGCTGAAGCTCTCTGTACCTTGCACTTCCCTTCATCTATAAGAGAATGACTATTGATTTCTTAGTACCACAAACTGGGAGACATTAAATAGCAGAAACTGAGTGTCACAGTTCTGGAATCTGAAGCTGAAGTGTTGGCAAAGCCGTACTTCCTCTGAGTCTCCGCAACCGATCCTTCCAGATGTCTGGTGGAGGCCAACAATCCTTGGCATGCCTGGTTGGTTATGACATTGCTCTCATCACTGCCTTTGTCATCTTCAATCTCATGGTTAACTTCACATCATCTTCCCTCTGGGCATATTAGACGGGGTCCAAATTTCCCCTTTTATCAGGGTACCAGTCAGATTGGATTAGGACTATTCTATTAACCTCATTTTAATTCTATAACCTCTGAAAAGTCACATCCTGAATGAACGGAATTAGAATTTCAGAATAATTTGGAGGAGGAACACAGTTAACTCTGTATCAATGAACAATATCGCATCTAGTTGATAGGGTTTTCTGTGAACAATCACGATCACGATCACGACCACCCTGTTGTTCGTCGATTGCCTCGAGCAGGTGCCAGTAACGTCTTCTTCGTCCTAGCCCTGAGATTCTTTTTTTTTTAAAGTGCCATATTCAAGGCTTTTTCAGGGTTAGGAGAATGAGACCCATCATTGTTACTGGTATTTGGCATATTGGGTATACCACGGGGAGTTTGCCAGACTCTGCCGTGTGGGCATGTTACATTTGGTAGCCTGCCAGTTTGACCGAATTAGGAATGAGATGATAAGATGTTGCGCGGCCGCGAACGCGGCCGCGCGCTTCCGGGAGCTGAGTGTGATAATCTCTGGATCCTGGCCGTTGTTGGAGTTACACGGCAGTTGGTGGGTGTAACTGTCTAGTTACTGGCAGGTCCAGTCCCAAACTGTACAGGCTTGGAGATCTCAGCCCCGGGTCCCACACACCTGGGTTCCTCTGTCAGTTCTTTTATGCGTGAGGCTCATCCAAGTGTGTGGAGAGTGCTCCCAGCAAGGCCTTGGCTGGGCCTCGGTGGTCTTCAGCTGTTGGGCCCTGGTGGAGACAATGTGAACAATAAGTCATGATAAATGGAACATACCACCTCTGTCCTTTGCAAATGATAAGAACTCAGTTCATGTGATTTTTTTTTAAATAAAACCTTAGATGTTACTTTTAATTTGCTATGCTTTCTGGTTTAAAAAGTTTGGGGTTGCAGTGAGTGGGGTTCAGAGAATGTCACCTTTCTTTTCGGGTTTTTTTTTTTGTCTCTTTGGATTACACCCATTAATGCTCAGGGGTTACTCCTGGTTCTGCACTCAGGAATTATTCCTGGTGGTGCCTGGGGGAACATATGAGATGTTGGGGATTGAACCAAGGTTGACAATGTGCAAAGTAAACACCCTACCCACTATACTATTGCTCTGGCCCCTATACCTTTCATTTTAAGCCACAGAATGGCTGGAGCAATAGCGCAACAGGGAGGGCGTTTGCCTTGTACATGGCCGACCCGGGTTTGATTCCTCTGCCCCTCTCGGAGAGTTCAGCAAGCTACCAAGAGTATCTTGCCCACACAGCAAAGCCTGGCAAGCTCCCCATGTTGTATTCGATATGCCAAAAACAGTAACAAGTCTCACAATGGAGACATT